GACCTCAGCTCGGGCCCGAATGGTAATCGGCCCAACAGCTCCTCGACCTCGGGAGAAAAGACGTCGATCCCATTGTCGAACGGCAGTGGCACGAAGCTTAACTCCAGTCCTGTGATGAGACTGAAGTCGGTAGGAGTGACCATCATCTCACCCCAAGGAAAGTGGAAAGTGTTGGTGGTGTCCTAGAAGAACTCCACCAGAGCACGCACTACGTGGTGACCGCCATTGGAGGCAACCATCGCCTCGGAGGTCTCAAACAACGCAGCAAGACCGCAAGACTCCCATAGGAGTCGCCTTAACCGTCACAGCCGGAGCCATGACAACGCGTCCTCCCAAAGGTGATGCCCCGTCTCACCCTCTCGGAAATATGGTGGACGGGGGCAAAGAACAGGGTCCGCTCATCCCACTCGGGGAGTCGACCAAGTGAAGTGGATGGTGTGGCGTCGTCCTCCACGGGCTCGTGCTCCCGTCGAGTGTCGCGGGACCGTGAACCAGAGCCTCGCTGTCTAGCCATGCCACATTGTGCAGAATTCTCATAAATTAAGGTTCTATAGTATCTAAGGTTCGCCTAGCCGCATGATACTATGTTCGCAAAAAATAGAGTACGTAGTACCAAAACAGAGCACAAATTCAAATTGAGCATATACGGTATTTTTCAAGCAATCAAACAATTTTTTGCAATACTATAGTAATTATTGTGACAAATTGGACAAGAATTGCTAGCAAAAAACATCAAGAACAAGTCACATTGCATTCCCGACCTCAAGAGGTCCAACAATGGCAATTTGCTCATTTCTTCACCAAATTGAGTCAAACAAGTCTCAAATTACTCCCAAGGCAATATATAAACATAATCAAGCAATTTCATGGCAAATTTGATAAATAAAGAGAATTAAGCATTCTAAATTTCGAAATTTCATGAAATTCGAATATAAACATGTGCAAAATTCATAAAAACCGGTGTGAGTTTGAAGAAAACATACATAGATCAGGAAAATGGATGAAAAGAGCTTTGATTTGCAACAAATTTGAGTGAATTTGGTTGAGAAACGAGCAAGAACAAAGCAAATGAAATTCTGCGGTTTTTCGAAGCAAACACGACGAGCAAAACAGCGAAAATGAAGAAGAAAGGGGTATTTAAGGAAAATCTCGTTCTGGCGCCAAGCGCTAGGCTTTGGCGTCAAAAATCAAGCTTGGCGCCTGGCGCCAATCCCAGCGCCTGGCGCTAAGGCCAGTTGTGTGGCGCTGATGCTTTTTCAGCGGCGCCAGGACACTCAGCCACTTAATCAGGTTGTTCTACCTTTTTGCAGTATATTTTGGGTTCCTTGGTACGCCAGTTAGCCCCTCTAAGCGATTTGACACGATTTTAGTAATCGTCTTGATTGCACAAAGTGATCGACCTGATGAAAGATCATCTCACTTAGCTTAAAGCGCCTAAGCATTGGCTCATTAACAAAAGGCACCGACATAGTGGTTCATTCGCAGAAGGCACTGACGTACAAGTTCAAAGCAACAAAAGCGTCGACGTACAAGCATAGCGGGAGCAAAGTTCATGCGAGCTTTTAAAGGATTGACAAGCGGAGATCTTCGGTAATTTCTTTGAAAAATTATCGCAACAAATGAGGATGGCTTCAAGCGAGGATATCTTCGACGTCATTCCCTAGATTGTGGAGAGTTGTCACAAACAACTGAAGGTAATTTCAAGCGAAGTTGTCTTCGACCATGTTCCCTTAGACGTGGATGATGGTCATAAAGCGGAAGAAGATTGTTTCAAGCGAAGCAATCTTCGATAGTATTCCCTTGGACGTGGAATATTATCAATGCGGATGGGGATTGTTTCAAGCAAAACAATCTTCGATAGTGTTCCCTTAGACGTGGAATATTATCAATGCGGAAGAAGATCGTTTCAAGCGAAGCAGTCTTCTATATCGGAAGCAGTTACAAGCGTAGCAGTTTTAAAGCGGGATGGCATTCTCTTGGAAGGAGGTCATCAAAATAACAGTAAAGCAGCAGCAAACCGGTTACTTTCAGAGACGTGTGCTCGACGGTGCAAGATACGCGTTTCTTAACTCTTCTATCTGTTTAACTAACGCTAGTTTTTCAGGTATCGGCGTTGCAAGAGTGATTTAGAGTCGCAGAACGTTCTGATATTCTCCGTCCCTATCGATACTTTGACTTTTGTTTTCAAAACTTGCGTTTCTCCAAACTAAGTCAAAGTGGGGGCTTCTGTAGACACCCATTTGTGTCTCCCCAAAACCAAACCCAATGATGAGTACTTTTCACGTCGAATCATAATCAAATGAAGTGAAAATGCGGAAAGTTTAGTGTTGCGGATAGTTTTAATTTCTTTTCTTTTCTCTCTGTTTTTGAAAACTTATTTTAAGAAAACAGCCAATCCAGTTTGGTTGGTCCATGATGTGGGTCCAATAGTAGTGTAGTTGGATGGAGCTTGACAAGACCTTTCCAACGATATATTATAAGCCCAATTCTGATGAATATTGAGGAAGTTATGGCCAATTTACTGAACTAGGCCCGGTTTGAGCCTTATATGCGGCCCAATGATCTAGGGGAGGGCCTAATATGATTTATCATTCATAATGCAATTAGGAATGGTTTTAGTCCTCTAGATTCTTCTAGAAGGTTCTTTTCATTCTTAATTCAATTAGCATTGATAAATTGACTTTTGTTGACTTTTCAGAGTTTTAATTAAAAAATCAAAGAGCATTTTTGAGGAAAATACGATTTTATCCTCCTGTACGACAATTTTTATTTGATTTTAAGAAAACGCGTGATTTTCTGAATCAGCGCCAAACGCCAGCTGTAGCGCCTGGCGCTATGCTTGGCGCTTGGCGCCAGCGTTGGCGTCTGGCGCCAATGGTCAGCGTTCGCGCTAGTTCAGTTTTACGTGTGCCAGACTCTGTTTTGATATTTTATCTTTTTGGCTGATTTTCTTTATAAATAACGTCGTAAAAACTCCGTTTTCAATAACCAGTCTTCATCGATAACCAGTTTTAACGAATTTTCATTCATCAATTCTCTCTCATTCTCTTCAATAATCATTCACTAACTCTCATCAAGATTCTCTTGGTTTCTCTCTCTCTCTCTTTTCTAAACTAGCTTCTCTCAAATATAAAAGTTCCGCATTCATTAGATCTAGAAACACCTAGCCATATTCGAAGTTGCCTTCGCCCTAGACGTGAAAGGTTTAATTTCTGAGGGTTTGGTCCCTAATCTCTATTTCAATTATTTAATTTAATTGTTGATTATTATTTTCCTTGAAGTTACTAATGCGTGTATTTTTCTATTAGAAAGAGGTACGAGGCATCAAAGTAAGTACTTTAATGGTTTTTATTGATGTTGCGATATAGAAATCGTGCTTAGATTGTTGTTATGATTCCTAGTATCATGTCTAGGGTAACTTTAATATCAAGTATGATTAAAAGTACGATGCTTCCTATATTCTTCCTAATGTTTATGATTGTTACTATCATGTTAGAGTTAAAGGTTTGATTTTTATTTGTTTAGTGACATGCTAGGGTTTGTTATTAATCTTGTTAGTATCATGCCTAGGATCTTACTATTATTATGCTTTAACATGAATATTATTATAATTGTTGTGATGATGATTTATGATTATAATTTTATTATTTTTTATTATTATGTTGCTTGATATTTATTATTTATTGTTATTGCTTGATCACGCCTTTTATGCATGTTTAAAGGGAATTTGTACTTGTAATCACGCTTAATAAGATAATTAATAATCTTGTTTAGGGTTAATATGATTATAATTCAAGTGATCGCCAATAATATTTTTATTTTTGCATTAAATTCAACCAACATAGATAAACAAATTTAGGGCTAATCCTATTGATTGTATGTTAGTCAAAAAGCACACATGAATACGATCAGAATAAAGTAGAGGCCTATTATTAGGGCAAGTTCAATCTCTTTTAGGTTGGATTTGTACCTTCATCCCCGAACCCTTATTTGTTATGGAGTTGACGATCTCTTGGATCGTTAAGGGGTGTAACCTTCACCCTATGAACGGTTTACAAGTTCCTAAAACTTGTTGGCGACTCTTTTGCTCTATCTTCTTCCCTTTTGGACGCCATCGTACTTTAGTGTATGATCACAGTGGGGTTCAAGATAGGGGGTTAACGCTTGAAATATTCCCTACACAGACGCTTTCGGTTTTGTGATGAATAAACTTTTAGCACAAGAGGGTTTATCAATTGGCAACTCATTAGCACTATCCCCTCTATTATTCTTCCATGGAGAAGCTTTCATCGACCCACCGTACTTCATGTTCGGATCTTCTATACTCTGCAACCCTCACAATCCTTCACACCATGGCCTACCATCCCACAAAAAGAAACAAAAGAGAGGCGGCTTTTCATATTTGACATCGAAAAATTCCTCATAGCCACCACACATCTTCACCTTCACCTTCTGTAATAAGGGTTTTGTGACGTCAATCATTACTCTGATTCTCACAAACTTATCAAATTCCATGCATCCCGAGCTTTCTAGTCTAAGAAAGCGTCCAATCTTGTTTCCAAGCGCCTCCACATTAGCAGCGTTTAGACGACCCTTGAATGGAAGATTGTACACCCAAACCCACATTGGGATTTCATACAGATGCACATTAAGCGACTTCACATTGTCCTCTATTTCACCAAGCAATAGAGCATGCTTTTCGAAATGCCAAGGCTGATCATCAAGAACCCTCTTCTTGTCCCTCCAATGATGGAATTGAAACACATAGGTGTTCTTCCCAATATTGCTAATCTCCAAACCACGTCTGGGTTGCCAGACACTCTTTATTATTGCTATGAAAGCATTGGAGTTAATTGTGTGTTCAATCCATATCTTTCCTACCAACCCTAATTCCACCGTTGCTTCCTCATCCGCCTAATTATCCTCAATTCATTCCACAGCATCATCAGAACCATCATTAATAGCATTACCCTAACCATCATTATTATTCTTTTCTCTTGAATTGTCTTTCTATTTCTAAATTTTTGTTAATGTTTGAAAGTGTCAAAATTTCTGTATCAGGTTGTTCTATAGAGGAATTCGACTCCATGATCAATCACTAGCATGGATTTGATTACAAAAATCAAGCAAAAACCTTCACAAAAAGAAAACCCTAGGAAAACCTAAACAAACCCTCCCCAGGAACAAGAAAATTAATATATCCCTTCGCATCATTTCTCTTCTTTTCCTTTATTAATATATTGAACCAAACAAAAGCTAAGCAAAAAAAAAAAAAAAAAAAAAAAAAACTCACTGACCTTATTTTACAAATCCACCCATTAGACAAAACAAACCCTTAAAAATTCTTTCACAGGCTAAAACCTCAGCTCACTTCCATTCTTCCACTAAAACCCTGCCTTCATTTCTCTTCCTCCCTTTCTCCCAACTCCCTTCTCCCACCACCACTTCCATCACCTGCTTCCCTCTTTTCCCCTCAATCAAACCCTACCAAAAACCTCAATCTAAACTTCACAATATGAATCAAACTTCCGAGGTATTTCATTCCACTTCTTTCTTCAATTCAATTATTGTTTGCCGAATTTATTTTGTGTGTTTGAAACATTCGGATAATTTTTGTATATATAGCTAATTTTGTTGAATTGCGGTTTTTGTTTTGTTTTGTTTGTAGTCGGCGTCGGAGACGGTGGCGGGAGTGCGTTTCGGTGTTATGACAGATGAAGAGATACGGAAGCTTAGCGTAGTCAAAATTACGAACCGTAATATATTGAATTTGGTTGGTCGGCCCGAGCCGGGTGGTCTGTGTGATCCTGCTTTAGGTCCATCGGATGATCATAGTCTGTATGTTCCTTTATTTTTCCAAACCTTATTGTTGTTAATTTTATTGAATTTGGCATATTTATTTTTTCGGTTTTTAAAAAAATACAAGTATATATTTGTTGTATCTATAGACAAATGTATGTTGGTGAGTCACGAATTCGGATTGTGGAATTGATATTGAAAGGTTATACTATCTCTGTTTCATATTTTTTGTAACTTTTGCCAAAAATGGATGTTACACATTATTTGCAACTAATGTCTTCTTTCCTTTTTAGGTTATCATTTCTCTCTTTCTCTCTCCTCATCACATGCATTCTTATTTTTCTCTCTCTATCTTACACTCACAAACAAATTTTGTCTAGGAGTCCGTGCACCGTTCAAAGTTGCAAAAAATGTGAAATGGAGGTAGTATTAAGTTTACAGAGTATCTGTACACGGTTTTTGGGAAGAAAATGTTGTAATGAAAATAATGTAGAGGGAATTGGGGAGTGTGTTACGTTGTTGAATAAACGCGTTGAAAGAATGGCTTACCTTATACTACGTACTTTGCACTATGTGTTATCCTTGACTCTCTGTGTTTTGGGGCGTTTTGGATATGGGATGCTAACTATTTGTCATTTTTGTGTTTCATATTGTAAAAGAAAATAGAAACTCTATTGACATTTAATTTTAAAATGGACAATAAGATAGTGTGACAAAAATATTTAACTTTAATCAGCAATAATGGTTGGTGCCATAAAGCTCTAAGAACTGTAGAATTGTGATCCAAAAAATCTTTCACAACAGAAAGATTTGGCTTGTAATAACCCTTGTTTTCTGTCTTCTGTGTGTGTATGTGGCGTGCGTGTGCAAGTGCATGTGCGTGCCGCGTCGCCTATAACCCCTGTATTAGATTTATAGAACCCTTTTTTTACCCGTAAGTAATTTTTTATTAGACATGATTAAGGGGTGTCTTTAATTGTGTAGGAGAGGGGAGGGAAGGAGATGCTTTACACTTGAGTTTATTTACTCCTTAATCATCTTCATGCTGATTATATTGCGTTATTTTGTTCAGATTGCTATCATATTAATAATTTGCATTTCTGTGCAGCTGCAAAACTTGTGGTCATCGTGCCTTCTATTGCCCAGGACATTGTGGTCATATAGATTTCGTGTCATTGGTTTATCACCCTTTATTGTTCGATATGCTCTACAGAATACTGCAGAATACCTGTTTGGCTTGCTACCATTTTAAGGCACCTCCAGAGGAGGTATTTTCTATAGTTGTGCAAATCTTGCCTTGACAAATTAACTTAAAATGTTTTTCTTTCCTTAGAGTTTCATGGTCATCTAATTTTATAATTTTGTTTTTTAAACTACAGGTTGAGATGTGCGTCTGTAAATTGAACCTTATAACAAACGGTGATATTGTTGGGGCCAGAGAGCTAGATAATTCAAATGGGTATCCTAATGACAGCTATAAAAGCCTTGGTGGGATTTTTGAGGGCCTTAAGCATCGTAGCTTGACCTCTTTTCAGCTTACCGAAGCACTTTCAGTCTTGAAAAGTTTATTGAAGAAACGAAGTCCCAAATGTAATCGTTGTGGTGCCAAGAATCCTCCCATTACTAAGCCTACGTTTGGTTGGTTTCACATGGTAAATTAATTTATGTCCTTCAGCCCATTAAAAACTGTTTTTTTTTTTTTTTTTATCGCCAATGTTACTCGGACTCGTCTCTAAGTGTCGTGTCCGACAAGGTGTCGGAGTGTCCGATACCTCAGTCCTAAATTTAGTCGACACGGTCAAGGAAGTGTCTTGACTAATATTTAGGATACGACTACTGTATAAAGTGTCTAAAAAATTTAATCCGACACTTAAATAATAATAATAATAAATTAATAATAATAATAATTATTATAGTTTTATTAATAATAATTATAAAGTAGTTAGATTTTAAAAAAATAGTTTAAAAAAGGTATAGTACTTTAATAGGGAGAAGTTAAAAAAACGAAAAATAAAGGATGAGAATGAAAGTCAAAAGTTAAAAAAATACTCCACCACATAAATATGACAGCTGGTCCACCTTTCTTTATTAGATAATAGCTGTCTCATACTCTCATATTTCCACCAACCTTGTTATTATCACCCAACCTTTCATTTTCTTGCTTATTTGCCTCTTTCTCTCTCTATTTCCCTATTATGTAGCTGCTACACGCCGGAAACAATGGAGTTTACCACTAAAATTCTACCGATTAACGGCCGTACCAACACTTATTTCAAACACTTTTCCGATACCCAAGTCGACTTTTTCTCGGAGCCGTGTCAGGGGTCGTGTCGCGCGTCGTGTCGTGTCGACACGCGACACCCAAGGCCAAGGGAGGTGTCGGAGTAACACAGTTTATCGCTATGGTTGTCTTACTAATTGTTTTGTATTAACTCTTTGCAATTAACTCTTTTGAGCAATTAACTCTTTGCACTTACATAAAAATCCTCTCTATTAGAATTCCTGTACTAGTGACTAGTGAGGTGACTTGTCACTTATGGTATGGAATGGACTCCATTGTCAATCTACAAGTCTTTCGGTCTCCATAAGTCCACTTGCTCAAATAAAATGAGAAGGGTTATTAAGTAACAGTATTGCATCGAGTTGATACAATTTCAGATTGATTTCGATCCTTTAAGATTTACCATGTCTCTTTTTTCATTACTACTAGGTTAGATCCCGTGCCATGCACGTTTATTATCATTATTTATTATCGATTTAATGTTATACTTAATTGATAGAATATAATATAAATTGTCTAAATTTATCATGGACAAAAATGAAGTATTTGACATAATGAAACATGGAATATCATGCTTATTAATTAACATTCTAATGTTTCAACCATATAAGAAAATCTATATTAGCTGAATACAGAAATATAAAGATTAAATTTTATTATAGGAATAATTTAAATAAAATGAAATAAATTCCAAAAAAAAGAAAACATTAGGTAGAAGAATTTAAAAGAGGAGAGGCTATGAGTTTTGACAAAAAAAATCTATACTTATATACTTATCAGTTATCAGTGATGTCTTTTTTTAAGTCATTAACATTTGTCTATCTTAATTGTATCCTTGAAGCAGTTATTATGTTAATTGCCACACAGAATCTTATAGTAGAAGATTTTATTATTTTCGAAAAATATTTTACAGAAGATTATATTGTCCATATTAGTTAATTGAATGTCAATATATAAAAAGAAGGTAAGTATCATTGCTATATTTGTGTAGCAAACAAATTTTACTAATAATATCTTTAAATAATTTTTTTATTAAATTAATATTTTTTTTGGAAAAATTGAAAAGAATAATTCCACCTTTGCTTCACATATGGGAACAAGCCAACCTTTGCCTCCTATTTTCTCAAAACAAGCCTTTTTACCTATTACCTATTCAACAGGTTAATTTTTTAATTTTAATTTTATTTTTTCCTTTAATCTCTCTTCTCCCACCTTGCCACCACAACACAACCAGCTTCATTGGCAGCCGCCCTCCCTGACACTCCCACCATGGAATCCACCCCACAAATTCCATTCCCGCCAGAATAACCTCGCTCAACCACTCCAAAACCCCCTCCAATCCAAAACACCACCCACCTCCACTCTCGGTGACCCTACCAGCCACCACGAAAACCCCATCTCCACTCCCGATAACCCCATCAACATTCACAATTTTCCATCCTGCCATCCCAAAAACCACAGCCACCTCAAAAACGCCCCAACAACCTCGAAAAAGTAGCCCTCCCCATAAACCCCAACCACCACCTCGAATCCGCCATCCCGCCATCCCAAAACGACTCTTTCCTCTGTTACTTGTTACTCCCTCCTGTAGATTCGCCGCAAAAACATGAAATTTGTACTTAATGATTTCATCTTCTTGAAACAAAACCCGATTATAAAACAAAGAAACCATAAAAACAAAAACCAATCAATCAATTAATTCAATTACCTTCGATGTCAAAGAAACTGCTGCCGCCATGATGGGTTGTCGGGGAAGGGCAGGGGGGCAAGGCTAGCGGATGACGACGTTCAGGCGGGGGCAGGGCTAAGGCAATAAGGTTGTTGGTGTTTTTCTTTTTTTTTTTTAATTAATTTGTTTTGTTTTTTTTTAATTATTTAAGCATGACCAATTAGAAGGTGACACGTGGCAAGTCACCTTCTAAAACCAGTTGCCAAATTATAAAACCGGTCAAGGGCTTGTTTTGAGAAAATAGGGGGCAAAGGTTAGCTTGTTATCGAAATACTCAAAGGTTGGCTCGTTTTGAGCGGATCAAGCAAAGGTGGGATTATTCTTTTCAATTTTTCCTATTTTTTTTTAAAAAAAATACTAAGGACACACCAGAGTGTAATTGCTGGTGTGTCTTTTAGTATATAGTTATTGATTACTGTGGTAATTAGAATAACCAAAATATTTAAATAAAACAAAAAAAATGAAAAGAAAATAAATTTTAATAATAAGAAAACTAAAGATGAAAGAAAGCGTTTTATAAAAAAAAAAAAAGAAAAAGAAAGAAAGCGTTGAAATTAGAAATTAAGTTACCTGATAAAGCTGCAAATATACTATAATTAAAAGACAAATGATGGAAATAAGAGAAATCAAGGTTAAAACGAGAGAAATAATTGGAAAATAAACCAAAAGACTATCCTAAAAATACCCCTAAAAGTGACATAATTGTCACTCGTGAATTACATCTCTTTCTAGTTGTTTTCTTTATATTTTGCCAAATAATTTCTATAATATAGATTATGCATGTGTTTGAATTTATTAATGGGTACAACCGCAAACTATTACTATAACAATTTGACACCAATTCTTGGATGTTTTTCTATGCCATGTACACATTCGCCATGGAGAAATAGAAGATCATGTTGTGTTCAACACCATTTTCATTTTTATGCCGGAAAACATAAAGAATAATCTTAGGGTCCGTTTGGCATTACTGTGGTTTTCAGTTTTTTGGTTTTTATGTTTTTTTAAAATCATATAATATATGTTATATAATGAATTAAAAATTAGTCAAACTTATTAAAATTATGATAATTTTGAAAACTGACAACAAAAAAGTGGAAACACCTTTTTCTTGTTTCCTATTTTTGGTTTTTTGTTTTCAAAAAAATAGAAAACTAAAAACAAAATACGATGCCAAACAAGCCTTTAGTTAGTAATAATTGATTACTCCGAGAAACAATTAAATGTTTGGACGTATTTGGGTGCAGTGTGTCCTATCTTGTATTCTCTACTGAGAGCATGCAGATTGAGTAGAGTCCTTGTGGACTTCTGGTTTCTTATTGAAATTGTTTTCTAGTAACCATTTGCCTATTTTACAATTGTAAAAACAGTTGTAAATGCAAGCCAAGTAGTCTGTTTTTTTTGGAGCTAAGCTTGATAAAAATTATAAGTTTTTGAGCTATCTAGAGCTATGTTTTTGAGCTATCTAGAGCTTGAGCAAGCTTTTAAAAATCTTGTTCAAGCTTGGCTTGTTAAAAGTTTAGCTTAGTCAAACTTTGTTCACCAATGTTGTTCTTGGTAGCTCTAGCATAAACAATCTTAAATTGAGATGGATTAAATAAACAAGCCCTAATTATCGTTAAAAAATGTTTTATTTTTTAAGTTTTAGTGCATCCACTCAGTTTAATACTTCCTCCGATTCTGATTGTTGGCACGTTCAATTTAGGCACACATATTAAGGAGAGGAGAGAGAATGATAAAGCGAGTGGGGTACACTAGTAAATGCAAGGTATAAATTTACCCAAAAAGGAAACGTGTCAACTAAATAAGCATCCTAAAAAAGAATGTGTTGACAAAAAAAAAAGGAGGTAAGTATAAGATATTTTTATTCTTTCTATAGAAAAGATAATGGTGGTGTTTTATGCCTATATATGTTGATGATTTGTTATTTTTACATATATATACGAGTAATAAATCTATTAATATATATACTAAAGTAGTTTTAATAGAGATTTTTTCAAGCTTGAACGAGCTTTGACAGAGTTATAATTGGGTGTGAAGCCGTGGACAAGCTTATAAATGAACTTAATCGAGCTGTTGACAAACATTATCGATTCGAACATAATGTTGTTTGAGCTTTGTTCATTAAATTGACGAGCTTAAATTTTTTATTTAGGCTTATTTGTTAACTAAACAATCGATCACTAACTGAGCTTGTTTGCAAATATTTTATGGAAGTATCAATTCATTTACACCCCTAATTGTAAACCACATTTTTTTTTGTGGTTCTTTTGCTTTTAAATTACTTTTTAGTTCATCGGATTTGAAAAACTGAACATTAATTATTAGAGCATATCACCAAAAATTTACCTTTTAAAAAAATAACTATGCGTTTCAGCATTATATTGACACATATTATATAACTAATAATAGATCATGGTAGGTTTTACCAATTTATATTAAAATGGCATATGGCAAAGTAACCAATTATAATGTATTAGTTTGTACCATAATTATAAGTCTGGTTAAGCAAACATTGAAGAGAATGATGAACAGTCAGGGTGGGAAGGGTTGTTTGTTGTGTTAGCAAAGGAAGTCTTCTGCTCAATAATCAATACCCCCCTCCTCTCTTTTGTGCGATTGTGAACTTCTGCTATCCTATTGAGCTTTAATGCTTAAACTGCGGGATTGTCATATTGCTGTTAGCACTATGGAAATGTTAACAGAACAAAATCTATGTTACTACTTTTAATGAGGAAAGTTTATTCTTGTAGCTTCATCATGTATGCATTGACTTGTTTCACAAAAATCTGATAATATAATGAGATTATTAATTTGATCTCTTTGATTTCTCTTGATATGTATTTTCACTTTCTTATTTAAAAGGGTGGCTTAAATGATAGCAACATAAAAGCAAATATCATCAAAGGGCATAGGTTGGATGGACCTTTGGCTGAAGGAGATGATGATAATGCTTTGTCTGAGGTAGAAAATGCTGAGGATCATGATGATGGAAAATTAGCATCGCTTAAACAAAGGAAAAAAAAAGATGACCTGCAGCTAGAATTTATGAAGTGGAAAAAGTCACGATCTCTTTTACCAACAGAAGTATGTTATTTTCCTTGGTCATATCATTAATCATTACCATTGATCTCATTTATGATTTATCTCAAATCTTTTCCATTTTTATTCTTTTGATGCGATAGTTACTTGTATACTTAAAAAGACTGTAATTTCCTCCAATAATTGCAGGTTAGAGGAATATTAGAGCGTCTATGGGAAAATGAGGCTCGATTTTGCTCGTTTGTTTGTGATATTCAGCAACATCAAGGATTTACGTCTGAGAAGAAAGCTGCTTTTATGATGTTTTTCTTAAAAACTCTACTAGTACCTCCATTGAAGTTTCGTCCGCCCTCTAAGGGAGGGGAATTAGTAAGTTTCAGCTGCATTATCCCTTGCATTCATCTAATTTGGGGCAGTTTCATTGATTCTTAACCATTGATTCTTAACCATGGTTAACTGACTTGGGAAGATTGCACCGGTTGTTCATCAATGTAAATTTTTTACCCTGGCTTTTATGCATGCACATCTATAAAGAGTTATAATTGTTTATTTAGGTCATGGAGCATCCTCGGACAGTTTTATTGAGCAAGATTTTGGAGTCTAATATATCCTTGGCAAATGCTTATGAGCAGCATGCTGAACATAACTTTATTCTTAGTAGGTGGATGAATCTTCAACAATCTGTAAATGTTCTTTTCAATAGCAAGAGTGCAGCAGGTCAGTCTGTATTTTTGTTTATTCACCTTTCTATGCATAATATATGACTCATGCTGTCATGCATGGTGAAACAATGTGATATACCTTGTGTCCCACCTTACCATACAAGCTGCAGTCCATGATCCTCTGCTAATTAATGTTTGTCTAACCAAGGACTTGTTAGTCATGTGTTATTTTTGGAATTGTAATAAAAGCTATTATTATGTCAATGGCCAATTAACAATCTAATGTTTTTGGGAATTCATATATATATATATATATATATATATATATATATATATATATATATATCGATAAGGTCTTTTTAGCTAATGGAGAGGACCTTCATTTTATGTGTAACTGCAGTTGTTTGTTATAAAATTAGAACCCTTTATGAGAAGTACTTGAGCTGTTTTTTGCTATTCCTCAAAACCGAATTCTTACAACCTATTCTAGTTTCTACTGTGATATTATTATATAAAAAAAAAATCTAATTTATAAACTTCATTACAAGACATGCAAGGCATACCCAAGTGCATGTCCTGTGCGAGTGCCATTACGTACATGAGGCATTATTTGTGAAAATTTTGTTAACACTATTAAAGAGTGTGAATTGTTAGAGGATCAACTCAACAAAAAGCTTAAGCTTATGGTTGAGACCTAAGAATATGTTTTATACTCTATCACGCCCCCTCATACGAGAGCCCGTTTGGGCTACAAGTGTGGACACGACATGGGCCCTCCTCATACTCGACGCTTAATATTCCACTTGAAAGTGGGGGGTGGATGAGATTCGAACCCGTGACCTTTGTGTCACGCTGGTTCCGATACCATATATGTTAAAAGACCAACTCAACCAAAAGCTTAATTTGATGGTTGAGGCCCTGGAATATGTTTTATACTCTATCATGAATCCTAAAACATAAGCATTTTTTGGTATCATCTAGTACAAGTAGTTTAAAAAACGCTTTTGAATTTTTCCTTAAAAGTGAATTTAGCAAATGATTTATATTGTATAGTTTAATCAATAAATATGGATACTCCCTCCGTTTTTAAATACTTGCTCCATTTCTCCATGCGCGGAGTTTTAGAAGAAATTGGAGAAAGTAAAAAAATATGGAGGTAATGGGGTAGGTGGAAGAATAAAAAATTGTAAAAGGGAAAAGTAGTGGAGAGAATTAGAGGAGAGAGAATATGAAATTAATATAATATGAATCATTGCGGGTCCGCTACTCAAAAAGTTTGTGAGAAGATTTGTAGAGGTTGGTAAAAAAATTCCAAATAAGGAAATGGAGCAAGTATTTAAAAACGACTAGAAATGAAAAGTGGAACAAGTATTTAAAAATGAGGGAGTAGTATAGTAGGTATTCCTTAAATTGGGAAAAAAAATGGTTCATGAAATAAAAATGTAAAAACTTGTCTTGTCATTGCCACTTTATGCCTCACATGGCTACTAACCTAAGCTCACATATAGTCACGAAAAAAAAAAAAAAAAGAAGAATCATAAGATAGAATAAATAAGAAAATTAAAACTAAAAGTATATCATATGGAACATAAGGAACAACAAATGAAGTAGTGTAATTAGAGGGACTGAATGAAGAAGTGTTGTTTGGGGGTTTTTTGTACGTACCCGAATGGAGGGTGTGTACGTCCCTCGGGAGACAGATTCGCAATGCAACACTCGAACGGCCCGGTCACCTGCAAAACAACGGACCCCGGGGCCCGGAGGTCCGCCTCCAACGATCAAATTAGTGATCGAAATAATGTATTTTAGAGAGAGAAAGTAGAGAGAAGGGAGAGTAATTGTGGGGGGCATTGCCCTTGGAGAATGAATTAATCCCTTTGAACTGAGATCAGTATTTATAGAGCATTGGGATATGTGCCTTTTAGGTCATTTAACCCAAAAGGCTCTAAGGTTGTGGGCTTAGAGCCCATTTTCACCCTTCTATCATTGAGTGACACGTGTCATGCTCTAATTGGCTCATTGAGCGCTGAGCTTGCGGACACGTGTCGCAGTGATATTGGTCCACATATAGAGGGTATTTTTACTGCCAAACAAGTGTTATTAGCTAACTAGTAAGGATGAGCACTCAGTAGTGTCAGCCTGTGTGCACCAAAGTAATGTGTATCTTTGTGATTCCATGCTCCACTATCATCAGTGTGTATATTAGATGGATTCCAAATTCTTATAGCCTTTTCAAAGTCTAAATATTATTTGAATATAATATTTTGGACACAAACCCGCTAGTAATTCTTCTTGGAACATTTTATTTTTAGCATAAAAGCCGTTTTCAAGTAGTCCAAATGCAATTTATTGTATTATCATTATTATTAATAGGAAAAATTGTCAATAACCTTTTAAAGTGACCACTTTATTTAAAAAAATCCTTATGATTTTTTTTTGTTACTTTAGATTACAAAATTTATTTGTCAAAGACAACCTAGAACTACGTTTCGGCGTTGACCTTATTTCTACCATAGTGTGCTTGTTACGTGACCCTTACTTTTGCTAACTGCACCCCTTCCACCTCCACATTCCTACTTAAAAAAAATTCCTCCTCCTGCTCTCACATTTCCTTAATTTCATCCTTTGCCTTCAACAAAGTGTCGAGGGTTAATTACTCCCAAAAACTAATTGTTTCTACAATTTAAAATCTTCAACCTCAATTTTGAATAGGTATTGTGCTTCTCCTTCTTTAATGTATAGAAATTAGTTTGAAAATTTGGGATTATTGAAAATTAGGGTTTTTTCCCTAAATTTTTTCAAATCGATTTATTGACGAGCGGTTTATCAATTATGTAGTAGCCATGGTTGATTAGAAGGATATCAAATGTGCTTTGTGGATTCCGGAACCTCCTAGATGATGATGCAAGTTTTTTCCTCCCTTTGTTTTTAACCATGGTAGAAAACATACAAAATTAAAAAAAAAACCCTATAAAAGAGGAAAGTTTGTATGACTTGCATTAATTAATTCTTATAGTATTTGGAAAGTCTTCATTAATGGAGCTTGTACCTGTAGATTTGAGTTGCAAAGTGAATGACAAACACTAATTTTTGTCTCCAAATTGAGGGAGTTAAAGAATAGGGGTTTTATGCGAGTGAGCGGGAGGGAAAATGGGTACATTTAGGATGATAAGAAGTCATGTGACATTGTGACAAGCACACTGTGTTCAATGTCGGAAATTAAAGGGCAACGCCGAAAAGTAGGTTTAGGTTGTCTTTGACAAAAAATTTTGTAATCGGGTCTGAAGTAAGTTAATTAATCAATCAAAGCCTTAATCTCATTAATGGGGTCGGGTACATGAACCAAATATGATTATTCTATGTGGTTGTCCACAAAAATCTTCCTCCTTTATCCCTTATGATCTAATTTCTCATTCTCATGCAAGTCCATAAACTTCATATCCTTCGTTTCCCCTTCCAACCAAGTCATTTTTTCCTCTCCCTCGTTTAACCTCTCCATGGTCCCACCCTTCTACTCTTCGCATTGGTGCACCCTCGGGTCTCCGTCTTACATGCCTAAAACAACGTTTACGATTTTCCCTTAGTTTTTCTGCAATGCCTGGATTACCTGCCACACCTACTTTCTTGCGGTTAACCTCATTTCTGACTCTATCTCTTAGATTGTTCCCACACATCCACCTTAACATGCGCAACTCTGTAATTGCCATGTTTTTAATGTGCTCCTTCTTAGAAGCCCAACATTGGTCTTATGATAGTCCTGTAGAATTTTCACTTCAATTGTAAGGGAATGCTTTGGTCACATAACACTCTTGTGGCCGCTCTCCATTAGTCCTATGATAAGCCTGTAGAATTTTCCCTTTAATTGTAAGGGAATGCTTTGGTCACATAACACTCCCGTGGCCGCTCTCCATTTAAGCCACCTTGACTTAATCCTGTGGGCCACACCTTGATAATGCCCCCATTTTTCAGGATGATCGACCCAAGATATTTAAAACATTCACTCATGGTCAAGTCTTTTCCATCCAAACTCACCACATCATTGCTTGTCCCCCTCCGAGTACCAAATCATCATACTAAATATTCAGTCTTATTCCGACTTAACTTAAACCCTTTAGATTCCAACCTTTGCCTCCATTGTTCCAACTTGGCATTTACCACATCTTTAGTTCCATCCACCAAAACGGTTGTTTCTAATTCTAACAAAGTGGTCTCTTTAAAAGGTTGTTTTTAACAATTTTTCCTTATCAATATTGATAGACCAAATATAATCTGATCTAATACAAAGTTTTGGTCAACTCATTAACTGTCCTTTTGGGTCCAATACTTCAATTTAAGCCATTTTGGCCTAGTAGTAAATCCATAAGAACTTTGTGCTTAATTTGAAATGTCACTCACACAAACATGCACATATACTCTGATTAGTCTCCCTCCCTCAGTCCACCTCTCAATTGCCTTTGCCAAGAGACATTCTTTAAAATCTATTTTCTGAAAATTAACAAGTCACATGATTACAGGGACCTGATGTTTCTTTTTAATTATAAAGCATTCCTTTGACCTTAAAAGTAGTGTGAACTCATGATATACTTGTTTGAACATGTGTGTCAGTACAAGCATTTTGGTCTTTTAATCTAGAAAGGCAGAGTTTATTCTAAATTTAAGGACGAAAGGTGTAAATTACAAGCAGCTATCGCAGAATATGGAGGCTGTGCTAGTCTGAAGGGAGCAAAATGGGCAATTTTATGGTGCGATTAGGGGCCCTAACTCTAATAGCCCTCCAAAAAAGAATAAAATGGCTTCTATAACTTTCTTTGTGTGATAATATAATGAATTATGTTTTCCTTTTTTAATTGGTTTATTTATCTTTCAAGCATATTGTTGAGATTGAGCATTAAGATAAATTTCTACTTATATAGTTGGATCTGCCTGTTGGTTATGAATTTATGATAGGTTTAGGAGGCATATGGGAAGAATTTTCAGTGGATATCAATAGTTTGATTGAGCATCATTGTTATTTTCGTTCGATGGCATTGTATGGGTCTGTGGTGTTATCTTGGAATTTTTATGATGCATAACTTAATAGACACAAAATTTTCTCAGCTCTCCTAGCTGTTCATGTTTTGTCCCTTGTAATATTAGTTGTGTAGTGTTTTGCTAGAGCATGTGTGAATGCATCTTGTTCATGTTAGAAATAGGAATGCAGCAAAATATTTCATCCCAACCAGGCTGTTCTGATAGGAGCTGAATGTATGCCCATTTTGGTCTAAATAACAGGTCCTGGACAAAGAGAATTGGCTTCTGGGATATGTCAATCTCTGGAAAAAAAGGAGGGTTTGTTCCGGCAGAAGATGATGGGGAAACGAGTTAATTTTGCTTGTCGTTCTGTTATATCACCTGATCCATATCTAGCAGTAAATGAGATTGGCATTCCCCCGGTTTTTGCATTGAAGTTGACCTACCCTGAGGTGAGATTTGATCTTATCAATTATCATCATGCTGTTTCATGTTATCTTGAACATCTTGGTCTTTTCCTTCAAACTTATAACTGGTCTAGTGATATTTTTTATTGGCTGGGGGCAAATGGTTTCCAGACTTGTCATATTCTCTCCCTCTCTTTCTATATATATTACCTCCGTTAAATGTTATGTGCAACTTTTGCCAAAAATGGATGATCAAGGTTATGTGCAACTTCTCATTTTCTTTCCTATTTTAGTAAACCAAAAAGCTTAAAAAGACCTATATTCCCTTAAAAAAATCAGATTTGAATAATTAAGCGGGGTGGTCCCATTTCTCTCTCCCTTTTTTAAGTATATATATATATATGTGTGTGTGTGTGTGTGTGTGTGTCTATATATATATATGTGTGTGTGTGTGTGTCAAGTTGACTTTTAATAAGTGTATTATAAAGTCTGCTTGTTGCTTGTAATAAGAAATGAAGTATGTTTTTTTATTTTTATTTTATGCATCCTTTGTAGTATTGAAAGAAGATTTTATGGATAGCCACTTGCAGCTAGGTATCCTTCCTGACCATGTATTACACTCATTCTGATTATTCCTAGTAAGAAGTTCAGGAATAAATGGAAATAACTTTTCACTTAAGAGAACAAGTATTTTAAATGAGGAAAAACCATCAATTGGACTGTTATTTAATGTAGATTTTTCTGAAATAGCTCCCAAAACATTTATTGGGAAATAATCCTCACTTACGCGTTATGCGTACTAAAATACTTATATACTCCCTCTGTTCTTTTATAATTGTAACAATCGGGTATTTAGTTATTTACACTATTGACACACCATCATGTGACAATCTGTTGTGATGTTTACGCAAGTTAAAAGAAGTTTAGTGGGGTCTTGTTAGATATTTCTCAATGTATACTATTACAATGTGAACATTTGAGAGCCAACTTTGGTCTTTACTTGAATATAAGGAGAATAAAATATGTTCACATCACCTTTTCCCATTCGTTTTGCCATTACTGTTCATCTTGTGATGTATTCCATTTCTTATCTTAAGTTGCCAAATCTTCATTAATTTAATTTTTTGATGGGAAGATCTAATGCAATTTTTGCGTAGCATCTTATGGCCAAGAGCAAGCTCCCTTGTTGCATTGTTGACTCTAGGACTAGTTCGAACTTTTTGTTAGTTCGTCAGTTCGTCACTGATCTCAAATAGATTCTAGATTTCCATGGATGTACTTAGGCATTGCATACAATCTACTATAAATCTATAATTAAGATCGCATAAATTGTGTTGTTTTCTCTTTATGACGTTGTTGAAGATAGTATCCTTTGACGGTGAGCATCAAGCTGTCTTAATTTTGACAAAAGTTTGTTTCTAAAAATATTATTGGCAAACTAAACATTTATTGTACATTTTTTTAAATTATATTTCGTTTGGAAAGACTGAAAGAGAAATATTCTCTTTGTTGAGATGCCATGTTTTGGTGTACTAAGATAGGTCTCTGTAGATTGAACTTTTCATTCTATCTATGTTCTTATATCATATGTGGCTATATTTTCAATGGTTGTATACTTGTATAAGCCTCTATCCAGCTGCATTTACTTTGAACCTGGTTTATTTATGTATGCTAGAACTCTGGAATTATTTATTTATTTATTTTTATTTAGCAATCTAATGTTTTCTTATCTTTTTTCTTTCTTACTGATTAGGCTACATGAACAATGAATTAAACTTGGTCTAATAAGTCATTAAGTGATTACAATTGGATGTAATTTGATGACCTGAAGAATGCCTCCCCTTCCCCCTCCTCTTCTTACTTTCTGTTGATCATGCTAAATGCTAATATTGGATAATAAAGTTTTTCGATTAATGTTGTCTACACAGAGAGTGACTCCATGGAATGTCACAAGCTTAAGAGAAGCAATTGTTAATGGACCTGATATTCATCCTGGGGCCACACACTATGTTGATAAAATAACATCAAAACTACCACCTATCAGGAAATCTCGTATTGCTTTTGCAAGAAAATTACCTTCTTCAAGAGGAGTCACAACCCAACCTGGGAAGTCTTTCAGTAATGATTACGAAGGGAAGGTTGTACACCGTCACTTGCGCAATGGGGACGTAGTTCTGGTGAATCGACAGGTATGAGGAAACATCAGTTGTTTGAAAAACGGAATGTGGCAGTGGATCTACTGTTGATCTGTTTGTGGGAAAAATGTGATGATGTGTACATTTATGTGTACTTGTATTTAACTTATGTTAAAACTTGTTAATCCTCTTGTGTATGTGCCTATGTGAGTCCTTATAGTTAAATGCTTCTAGTTCCCTTTGAGTTGTTGGTACTTGTATAAAATAAAAATTCATGAATCAACTTAATTATTTTGCTGTTAAGATTGGATTATTGCTTTTGGTTGTTTCAGCTGTAGTGTGGTTCTGGGAAGTGACTGCAAAATGAGGAACCTGAGAAGAAAATTAATGTGTTGCAGCAAGGGGTGAATATTAGGCTATAGATTTTCTGTTTTGTTATGTATTTTGCTTACTTTGACTTCCCAGAACTTAAGAAGAATTAAAGTTGCTTTCCATTTGCATAAAAGAGAAGCTATGCGGGTTTTGCTCTTAGTCTTCTTTTCTTCTGCTTTCTTTTAAGAAAATATAATTGGTATATTCTTACATGGGATTAATTTTTTGGGGCATTTTCTTCTCTTTATTAATCATGTCAGTGTTGACAGTGAAATAGCAAATCCATTATGGAAGTATGTGTGGTTTCTCAATGCCAATGCTAGTTCAGGAGGAAGGATTAAATAGAGCCCTTAACACTATATAAGACTAACGTCTTTCCCTTTATGTTACCGATATGAGAGTGCTTCTGGCATTTAGGTTTATCGCTTAGCTTGTCAGGCTCAAGTCCCATATTGTGCAATTGGTTTATAACGTAGTATAACACAAAACATGGTCTTGCTTTGTAAGATATCTAGGCTTGGGTGACCAGTGCAACATAAGATCCTCCACCATTGGTATGAGGGCACAAAGGGGGAGGTTGATTGGTTGGATATCAATCGATGCGTCATTGGGTGTGCCTTATTCTGTAAGCTAGCTCCAAGGGAGTCCACTCCCCATATGATTAATGAGGGATAAGTAATATACCTTAGAATTGAACTGTCACAGACCTCCCCACCCTCAGCTATAAGGTAAGGAGATAAAAAAATTGTCTCAAGACCAAAAAAGATTATCATGTCTGATAATGGAAATGGATTATTCTATGGATGGCGTCAATACGGAAACATAATTTGAAAACAATGAGAGGCTGACAAGTTCAAGCCATTGATTTCACTTCCACACTAACAAGTTTAGCAATGATTTACAACCAATAATAATACTTCAAAGGTTACTCTTAGCCTAGTGCATATAATTACTATCAGCAAGTCTCCTCATACCATTTATCCAGTTATCCTCATTCTTTTCTGGAAGTGTTGGTGCATGTGTGAAAATTCATTGGATAAGGCAGGCCATACCTCTCTAGAACATTCAGTTTCCAAAAATCAATTCTTACATTTCTCTTTTGCCTTGATTTATTGAAGATGAACTTATTTGCTTAAACTAAAAGAAACCCTGATTTATCAACATAATGATCATTCTATAATCTGTTGTTTAATCAACAAAATTATTTAACTTTCCAATTTCTGGAACCACCAAGAAGGGAAAGCATTGCTTGTGGAAATTTTCTGTTCTGCCTACCAGGTCATCATCTGAATTCGGGATGAGTCAGAGATTCTTGTTGATTTATTCATAAAGCCTAGATCTTCTGTGGTGAAATTACCTCGATGAATTGCGTTGTAAATAGGTGCTTTTATTTATTTATTTATTTTATTTTTATTGCCCCTGTTTTTGTGCCTATGCTTTAAGTAGTTTGGATTTTTGGGATATCTGTGCCATTACTTATGCCAGAGTTGTCTTTTTGGTCTTGTAATATTTGGGGTCCTGTGTTTACTTTTCTATATGCCATTTATAATTTTGTATGTCTTTTACTTATTCATATATTATTATTGTTGTTGTTCTTGTTACTGTTATTGTTCTTGTTATTGTTATTGTAAAAAAAGAAGGAAATAATCAATGGATTTGTCTGACTGTTTAGGGGTTGGTTGGGCATTAGTCAACTGAGCTTGCCTATTCAGAATAACAATAACAATGATATTTTATGGGATTACTTTTGCCACCTTGGTTTTTAGTCACTCTAATATTTTATATGCTTCTCAGCCGACGCTTCATAAACCAAGTATAATTGCACTTAAGGTCCGAGTCCTGCCTGGAGAGAAGACTATTCGTTTTCATTATGCAAACTGCGAGTATGTTTCCTACCCTTTACAATATGGCTTTGTTTTATGATTCTGCAAGGTTCTTGCTGCTGATACTTGTCACTACCTGCTGACTTTATGCAGCTCTTTCAATGCTGATTTTGACGGTGATGAAATAAACGTTCACTTTCCACAAGATGAGATATCTCGGGCTGAAGCTTACAACATTGTCAATGCTGATAACCAATATATAGTTCCTACTCGTGGTGATCCTAAAAGAGCCTTAATTCAGGTTCTTATATAAATTGAGGGTCATATGATTGATTATAATTTACCTTAATCTGTCCTCAATATCTTATTTTTCTCATATTTTCATACTTGTGAATAGGATCACATTGTAGGTGCTGTACTTCTCACAAAGAGAGATACTTTTCTTACCTTACAAGAATTTAATGAGCTTCTATATATGTCCGGTGTGTGTTCTTCTGGCGCATCATCCCTGAATGCCAAATCTGAAAAGAAAATATCTGTAGTAGATGCAGAAAACGTCATACAGGTTCATCCACCCGCTATAATTAAACCACAGATGCTTTGGACAGGGAAGCAGGTTTGAATTACCCTTATGAGATTTCTCTGTAGTAACGTATCAGTCTTCTGTATTTCTTGTTGTTCGCTCTCTGATTTTCTGAATAAAATTTGACAGTCTATAATCGCTCCTGTGTAGGTTATAACTGCCATCTTGAATCACGTAACGAGAGGTTCTTTACCATTTACTGCAAAAAAGCGTGCTAAAATTGCTCGAGAATATTTTGGGAGGGATGAATCCAAAAGGAAGAATGATGAAAATCTTAAGACAGCTGAAGAGGGTTCTCAAAAGAAAAAGAAGAAAAGTCGGAGTTCTAAGAAGATGATTGCTGGAGATTCGGCAATAAGCATTCAAAGGGACCCCAGCCACAGCATCGATGAAGATGTTGTGTTTGTTTACAAAAATGAGCTGGTTCAAGGGGTAATTGACAAGGAACAGTTTGGGAAGTTTGGTTTAGTTCATACTGTGCAGGAGATGTACGGGTCTGATGCTGCAGGAACCTTGCTTTCTGTATTGAGTCGTGTTTTGACAGCTTTCCTGCAGGTGGCTACCCAACCTTCTTATTAGCCTGATTTTCACCTAATGCGAAATGATTTGTGTACATATGTACATGTTGCATTTTGACTTATCTTTATAAAATTCTTGTGTCTTGTAGTTGCATGGTTTTACCTGTGGAGTTGATGATATTCTCCTACTACAACCTTATGACATCCTGAGGAAAAAATTGCTTGATATTTGCCATAATTGTGGCGAGGAGGTTCACCAGCAATTTATTGGCCGCGAGGAAGAAGGTTTAGGTACATGACAGTTCTTCAATGCAAAGTTCTTGACTATAGGATGTAGCTTTGTGTTAATTTATACACTCCCTGCTCAAAAGAAGAAAAATTATATTATTGTTGTCCTAGATCTAACATAATTTCAACAAATTTTTCTTACAATCTCAGTCAACTCCTTACAATTAAAAGTGGGTGGGACTATATTAGGCTATCCAATCATATCTGTTCTATATCTGGAAATTTGACAACTTTACTCAAAGTCCAAACATCCAAAATTATTTTTGTGACTATTATCTTAGGATGAAGATAGCATGAAGTGATTTAAGTTTAGAATGTGAGATTAGTTTTCTTTGAGATTGTGCCCTGTATCTTATCCCCATTTTATACTCCCATTACTTATTTGAAAACTGTGCAAGGCATGTTGTTGAGCCTTTTTATATAAAGAAAAGGCAAGCTTGATAAAGCTGATTTCGTTGTCAAATCACATATCACTCTGATGTTTGTTAGAGCAGTACAATATGTTGAGGTTTCAGTCACATTCCCATTGGTTATCATCTGCTTATTCCATTGAAGATGGTTTTTAGACTTCCATATATTTTATAATAGTATTCTCAACTACTCCTTACATTTTTTTAAATGCTACACTTGCCTTAATTCAGCCGTTTTTTTTTAAATGACACACTTCCTCTTTTGGATATCCCTTATTTATTTACTTTACCCACCAATGGTCCCCACTCTCACTTGTTTTATCATTTCTCACTCCTTGAATGGTTCCCATTCCCTCTCACATCCTTTTACTTTTCAATAAAATAAGAACCCCACTATTTTCTCTTACATTTTTTTTAAGGTAAATACAAGTTTATAACAGAGATAATCAATTCTTGTTTATCACAGGGGTACTTATGTATTTAACATTTGACTTTGACTTCACTGCCATTTCCCATTCTCTCTCCCCTTGACATTCTCTTTCCTGCTTCAACCTTGTTCAATGGCAGAAATAATGACTTTTCAGTCTTCACAATCAAACAAATGAAATCAATGGAGGAAGGAAAGCATAGGGTTAACCGTGCCCTTTATTTCTTCCTTTGTTATTAAGGTTTTTTTTTTCAGCCGCCGAAATGGTTTTGCTGGCAGAGTCGAAGGTGGGAAGAAGTAGATGTACATGAAGGAAGAATAAGAAGATAGGAGGAGGAAGATGATGAATTTTGCAACCATTAGCAAATGTTCGCTAACGTCCGCTAACATCTGTCATCTCCATCTGTCACTGCCATATAACAAATAAAGTACAAAATATATTTTTAATGGGCCAGCGTGGAAACCAATGCATTTGTAGTATACTGAATTGTGTGAGAGAAACAACCAGGTTTATCTCTGTTATAAACCTGGGCTCCATTTTTTTTTTCCCCTTTTTTCTAATTATCCTACCTATCCCACTAGCATCTTATTTTATTTAAATCAATAAAACCTCCTAAAACTCTGTGCATTCACAACTCAAGCCTTTTAAAAAAAACACTGGGAGTACTTTATTGTGGTTACCATAGGTTAATTCCATAGAGGAGGGTTTTTAGACTTGGTTATCATAGGTTACTTCCTCTGTTTTTTGTTTTGTTTTTTTAATTGCATCACTTTCCTAAAAAAGAAGTTTTAAATTAATTGATCACTATCCTTTTTAACTTATAAGTTTGCTCTATCTCTTTCCTACCACATTGGCCCCTTTTTTTTTTCTCTCTACCTCTCTCTACCCAAAAAATGTCTAGGAGTCTATGAAAACAAAAGTGATGCAACTAAACCGAGGAAGTATATGTAGATAGGATCCGGTGAGAAGTATGCTTATGGTGGGAAGCGTGAGAAATAAAGGTACATTAAGTATATAAAACTGATACATCCAATGTGTATTATCGATACATTGAAATAACATCATATATACATCAAGCCTTTTCCTCCTTTTTCCTTTTAAATATGGGAAAATCGGCAATACAATGCCTACACGTGCCCATTACAGAAACTCACCTCTTTCTCAAGCCTTGTTAGAATTCAATTAGTGTCATAAACTTAATAATTAAATTTGAAAAACAAAACCCCCTCTTTCTGTCTTTCTCTGCCAACAAATACATCATGATATTGCTGCAGCTAGCTATAAATAATGACCTTGGTTGAAGACATAAAATTTAAAGGTAATTTATGAGGGGAGGAAGCAGAGATGAGCTCAACAAATAAGATGCTAAATATAGAAGAATCGTATAGATACAATCACACAATAGAATTATCTTACACAAACATCACCATCAATGCTCAATAGATACATCAAAATGTTATAGAGATACATCTATAGCATTTTTGTTTAGAGTTTACAAAAAGTTTTTCATATCTGATTGTAAAACTATAAAATAAATTTGATGGATATATTGTTGAAATAAAGCTTTGAAAATGGAGGAGAGTATGAAAGAGATTAGCTCAATAGCTTGGGAGGCCAAAAAATTGGAGGAAAAATAGAATTTGGGGAAGAAAGGTACTCCTAAGAAAGGCACGTGTATCCCATATACAGCAAGGTACACTTTGAGCTAAATATTTCACATATTTACCATCATGCCATTAATGAATGGATGATACGAGCCATCAGATTAAACTAATCCAATGGTTGACAGCTCTTCTCACCCTTCTCACATAACATTCCCTTTTCACAATGTATATATATATATAATGGAATTCTCAAATACTTTATTGCGTTCTGTCTGTTGCTGGGTTTATGTGCCACTCAAGTGTTATAAGAGCTTTCATTTATTGTAGTTTCTTTTAAATATCTTCCTGGCTTTGATCCTCTGTCTCTTCTCTCATTAGGACACGTTAAGATGGGTATAGAGGAACAGGTTATTGAACATAGATTCACATGAAGGGTTTTCTTTTTTTTTTGTTCCCTCTTTGGCATCACTTTTAGTCCACAGTAGTACTTTACTATAATCCATGAGCTTCTGTGTGCTAAATCTTATTGACCGTTTATCCTAGATTTCTAGTTGAGACATTTAATATATGACTAATCCTTTATCCGGACTTAAAGTCGTCCCTAACTCCCTTTAGTTGAAGTAATAGCTGTAAGGGGCTTGTTATGCAGTATTTTTTGATTATGTAATTATGACACTCTAATTATGTTAGTGGTTTGTTTTTAATTCTTTCTGATTTCATTTTTGTGTACCTCTATCTGTCCAGAATTTTCAGAGATGCAAATCGAAATTGAAAAAGCAGTTCGGCGTAATGGAGAATCTGCAATAGCGCTTCTTGATGGGTTGATGAGAAGTAAGCTTAATACACTGAGCTCTGCGGTCACTAAGCTATTCCCTGAAGGACTAATTAAGCCTTTTCGGAAGAACTGTCTTTCTCTCATGACACTCTCTGGAGCTAAAGGTGGCACTGTAAGTTGTTGACTCTATTGACTTGCTTCAGTTTGATTTTTTTAGTGCTTGGATATTCTTCTACTTTCTCTAGTTTAATATGATTGTAAAAGTCCGATGTAATTTGAGGCACAAAGCATCTCAAAGGCTATGGTAAAGGGAGCAAGTGAAAAGTGCAGCATCGTACATGCTGAGCCTATGCTTATAAATGATTTTGAAATTTAATACAATGAATGCTTTTTATCCAGCATTGTAATAATATTAACATGAGATGCTTATACTCTTATATATGTATCCCAATATTAAAAAGTAAAGAAATTAGAATCAGAATAATTGTTGTTTTAACGAGTCTTTACCTCAACTCCCCCACCCAGTACATCCTATGTTTTATGGTGGACTAGAGATGTGTGTTGTATAACGCCTCACTCTTCAATCGAGGCATGCTGAAGCTTTGAAGTTGAACCCTAGGTGCCTGTGATGATTTTGTGCCTGGAGAAGTTATATTTTTAGTGCTAATGACACTGTTGCACTGTGCCATAGTCACACACTAAGTAAGGCGTTTGGTTTTACCACTGCCTTGCAACTCTCAGATCCTTCCGATAAATTTTAGATGTCTAAACTGTATTGAATGTCCTTATCCTTGGATAAATTACAACTATTTAATTTGTCTAATGAGTCAAGATAGGTAGCTGCCTGCTACAAATGGGTTCACTGGTTCAGCATATAGCTAATGTTCATGGTCTGTATATAATTAATTACATAATAAAGGTTCATAAGGATGTTGCAACCTTGTACAATTAGAGGTGACAACAATTGCTGAAGTATAATGTATCGTGAAACGGTGGAAGGAAGAATACTTGTTGGACAAGAAAATGATGTAATTTAGTTTGCTTAACATAGCAATTGTGACTATAAGTACTATATATGATTTTATATTGTATTTGGAGTTGCAAGGTTTGCATTCCCATTTCCCGTAGTGGTATTGTGGTATATATATGAAGTAGAGTAGACCTCATAGAATAACTGATTAAGTTTCCAACCAAAATACACTTATGGATCCCTTTAGAGTTTTTGTGTTACTTGGTAGCTTGAGGACTTGAAGGCATCTCACTATCTCAGTGTGTATATTTGGAATATTGTAGTGCTTGGCTTGGCTATCTCATACGATGAAAGATAAAAAATAATGGGCGGAGCTATGCAATAGGCGTGGTTCATTATGATGGATTACTGCTTTTTTTTTATTTTTTTTTATTTTTATCTATTTACATGACCCTTACATCCTTCTAAAATTGCGAGTTTCTCCTAGATTCTCCAAGACTGCTGGTTTCTACACTTGTTGCGTTTGTGCTGCTGTCATATTAATGCTGATTGATTCAATTTTCTTTAACTTTTGGCAGTTCAACTTCCAACAAATCTCTCTTTTGTTGGGTCAACAAGAGTTGGAAGGGAAACGTGTGCCTCGAATGGTTTCTGGAAAGACGCTACCTTGCTTTGTCCCTTGGGACTGTTCAGCTCGAGCTGGAGGATTTATCAGTGATCGTTATCTTACTGGCCTTCGCCCCCAAGAATTTTATTTCCACTGCATGGCTGGTCGTGAAGGGTAAATTTGTTCAGTCCTTTCTTCTCAGGCGTACAACACTAGCTTAAAATATTTCCTCTCCCGCCTCCCTTTAAAAAAAAAAAACAATCGTATGGAAGTTTAGAACTCTTAAACTCTTAAAGTATCTTAAGTAGCAAGGAAAATCCACTTATCAGGAAGTAAACAGGCTAAGCTAATTTTGTATGTTTTGTAGATTTGTAGCTCAAATTCATCATGTTGCTATGAAGAAAAAGTCACCTACAGGCTTTGAATCTTTCCCTGTGGGACCGAAATATTCCAGGCCTATGTTTCCTGGAAAAAAATGAACATTAACTGGATGGTTGTCCTTTTTGTTTCCGAAAGAGATCATAATGTAAGTAGGAATCTAGTTTTTGGTTGGGTTGGACCATGCAGTTCCGAGTAAATTGCTATCAAATAAAGTGAGATAAAGTTCCTTTATTTGTTTAGAATATGGATAGTCCATTGTATATGTTTTGTGACCTTGTTTTTCAGAATGGACTGCGTAGCACATTTTCTCTTGACTGCAACTTAGGGCTCTAATGAGGGTGTTAGCGGCGACATTAATGACAAGATGAACAGTTATTTTTAAAGAGCATGCCACTCATTAATTTTTTTTATTTTTTTTAATGGTTTGTTTTTTGATTTATGTACATTATGTTTATGTAGGTTAGTGGATACTGCCGTCAAAACGTCTCGCAGCGGATACCTTCAAAGGTGCTTGATTAAAAATCTTGAGTGCCTCAGCGTTCAATACGACTACACAGTTCGTGATGCAGATGGTTCTGTAATTCAGTTCCGCTATGGAGAAGATGGAATCGATGTTCACAAGAAGAACTATATGCATGAATATGAGGCATTAGCATTGGTTGGGCTTTGTTTTTATCCTACAATGTTATTTTAATTTATTTAACTGTTATTTTTTTTATACTTATTTAACTGTTATTTTTTTTACTTATTTAACTGTTATTTTTTTTACTTCCAGAATCAATCACTGATTGTTAGCACAAATCCTTTAAGTCAAATCGATGATGGATCCTTATCCAAGTACATTGATGAAGATAATGAAGTACCAAATCAACTTGCCAAGGAAGCCAAAGAATTCTATAAAGGTCACCCAAAGGACTGTTTGAACTTTCTAAAATTGGTTAAGAACAAATATTACATGAGTCTTGCACAACCTGGGGAGCCTGTTGGAATAATTGCAGCTCAGTCAGTTGGAGAACCATCTACACAGATGACGTGAGTTCTTTATTCCTCCTCATAGTAGCTACATGTTTGAATTTTTTTTTTGTAATCTGCTGTTAAAAAGCTTTTAATATGTGATTCAAAAGTTGCTACATTGCATTTAAGTTCAAGATAGTTGATGAAGCAGATATATGGGTTAAATTAGCTCTTTATGAGCATTTGGTTTTCCGAACATGCAATCAATGCAACAGTAGATATAATGAAATTGCTCTATAATACATTACTTTATTTGTACAAAGAAATGCTGAATCCTCAATGGACCTGCAGTTCATTTGCAGAAGAGGGGTGAATGTACATTATTGATGATGCTCTGCTTTAACCTGCTCCAAGCCATATGCCAATGTCCTTCAAAGGAGTTTGGTTGGACTAAATTTTCACATATAAATCTGTTTTTATTTTAAAGAATATTCTGCTAAAGTGCTAGATTTTTTTTAGTACTTGGATTAATGTTTTGGAGCTGAGATTTCTAGTCGGGGTAAAACTCGATGTTTGGAAATAATGTTAATGACAACCACGATTCTGAAACTCAAAGTTAGCTTATTATTATCACCTTCTTAATCACAAGAAGTTTTTGAATGGATGTCTGAGTCTTGAGAGAATAGTATATCACTTTAATAAATAAAAAAAAAGAGGTTTGAAAGGGTATCTACTCATGGCCAAGTAGGATTTTAATAAATAAAAAAAAAGAGGTTTGAAAGGGTATCTACTCATGGCCAAGTAGGATCAATGTTCTTTGATTACATCTTTGTTCTTAATAAGCTGACTGCCAAAAAATTTGTCTTTAATTATCTTTAGAAATTGTGTTCAGTTTTTGATCTTTGTAAACTTTTGTATGAATGTATTTTCCTAGTTGTATTATTCTAGCCTCTTATCTGAACCTGTTCTGGCTTCTGACCTATTGACATTGCCTCAAAACTATGTACTAGAGATTTAATTTGAAATGGACAAAACATGCGTAATTATTTAAATGTTTTATTGCCTAGTTATAAGTAAACATTCATACTATCTTCATTTTCATAGGAATCTTCTAATTGATGCACTTTTTGTATCTGTGATTATGAAACTTCAGATTGAATACATTCCATCATGCCGGTCGAGGTGAAATGAATGTGACACTAGGAATTCCACGTCTGCAGGAGATATTAATGACTGCATCAAAATCTATTAGGACTCCAACTATGACATGTCCTTTGCTAAAGTGCAAAGCTAAGTGAGTTCTATTTTCCTGTTTCTTCAGTTTTAATCACAGTTCACTATCCATTCGTGGAAAGTTGGAGACAGGTATGTATTGATGTGTAAAATCATAACCATAGCAAAGCTAGACTTAAGGTTATAAAAGGTGAACAAAGTACAGAAGTACTAACCTAAGTAGATTGAAAACTTTTGTGCCTGTGGAAACTTTTAGACAGAGTTGGATGTGTTTCAAAATACAACATATATGCTTCAGTAATAAATAAATGCATTAAAATTAATTCTTTTCCTTGCATTAACATTTTTAGACCTCTTCACATTCACATTTTTCCATGCAGAAATAGAGATTTAATTCCTGTTTGTTCTGTCACATTCCTACCTAGCTCTAATTTCTTCTGAACAACTTATTGCATATAATGTTGCAACTGTATATCTATTGATATCCTTCTTTCTGGAAGTTTTGCTGATTAGTATATTTGACACTTCCAGGGATGATGCAGAGCAACTTGCTGCTATGTTGAAGAGGATCACAGTTGCTGACTTGATAGAAAACATGGAAGTTAGTGTTGTGCCATTTGCAATTGAGAAACATGAAATCTGCAGTATATATAAGCTTAAAATAAAGCTCTATGATCCTGTACTTTATCCTCCTCACACTGATATAACATTAAAAGACTGTCACAGTACCCTGCTAGACGAGTATATGAGTGAGATGGAAGCTGCTATAAAAAGTCATTTGCTTTTGCTTTCTAGAATATGTGGTATCAAATCTGAATCCCAGCCAAAAGGTTCAGCAGACATGGATGAAGATGGTTTTGGGAGCCAGTCACAGACAGTAGAAGAAGAAGATGATGATGATGATGAAGATGATGATGACAATGATTGCAATGAAGCAGGGGGAGATCATTCGTCAAAAGTACGAAAAAGGAAACAGCAAGATGAGATTGAGTATGAGGATGACTCAGAAGAAGTTGAGGAGGGAAATCCTGTAGCTGATCGTGAGAATGGAGATGAAGATGGTGATCTGGATGAAGATGGAGAAGTATCTGAGGACAATGATGTACTGAAAACCTCTTCTGGTCCTGATTCTGATGAACAAAAGGACAAACCAGAAGCTTATCAAAGAAAAAAATCAGATAATGACAAAGCAATATATGTTGACTGTGATGGACTAATTTTTGAAGTCCATTTTAAGTTGTCAAATGAACCACACATATTGCTGGCGCAGGTATGCTGAAATTGATTTCTTTCCGTTAATTTTCATTATCCTGTCTTAGTAATTGGTTTATTTATGATTGTTTATGACTGCCTTTTTAGCATAGCTGCTCTTTGATTTGAAACTTAACGAAGCTGGCATTGGAGAAACTTCATTTATTTTGTCATTTGTATGTGATCAACATTAGTTGTGCAGGAATGGCCATAGTTAAGAAGTTTTTAGTAATATACAACCCTCGTGCCAAGTATAAGAGGCTAAAAATAGCATGTTAATTACACAAACCAACATGTGAATTTGTCATAATTTTTCCTTACTACTAATATCTAAGGGTATAAATATTTAGGGATGCATATATTATAACTGTAGGTGAAAAGCAAATACTTGCATTTCCAGTATATGTCTTCAGGTGAGCACTAAAACTTTAAGTTGAAGAAGATATTAGAATTGGTGTGTGCGCTGTAGGAATTTCCTCCAAACTTGAGTATATCCCTCTGAGGAGTACGCATATTATAGTTGGATCACTATCTTCCACAAGATATCCCCTGAATATAACTATGTTTCATTGTTTCATTTTCTCATTTATGGTTGTTGATGCAGATTGCGGAGAAGGTAGCTAAGAAAGTTTATGTTAAGACTGCTGGCAAGATTGAGCAATGTAAAGTAGTGGAGCTTCATTTGGACGACTCTGGGATGGGAGGAATCCCAATGCTTAGAAAAGGTAAAGAATCTCGTCCTGCTCTTCAGACTGCTGGTGTGGATTTTGCCGCTTTTTGGGATATGCAAGATGAGCTGGATGTCAAGCTCATTAGTTCCAATGACATTTATGCAATGCTTAGTACTTATGGGGTTGAAGCTGCCAGAGCGACCATTATAACAGAGATCTTCACAGTTTTTGGTCACTATGGAGTCACAGTAGACATGAGACACTTAACCTTAATTGCGGATTACATGACACATACGGGCGCGTATAGGCCATTGAGCAGAAGTGGGGGTATAATTGATTCGATATCTCCGTTTAGCAAAATGTCGTATGAAACTGCTTCCAAGTTCCTAACTGATGCAGCAGCCCATGGTGAAGTTGATACCTTGGAGACTCCTTCGGCTAGGATTTGTGTGGGCTTGCCTGCTAAAGTTGGTACAGGATGTTTTGACTTGATGCATGATTTGGATGTGTAGTATGTCACAATTGATGGCGTACAGATTCCCAATTTTGAGTCCTCACCTTAGATGCAATTCAGTTTATGTGATAATTATGCATGTAAAACTGATGTAATCTTTGGTTACGTATCCAATTTATGTATTTTATTTTTGATTTTTTGATTTTTTTGTTTATGCAAGTATAATTAAATTTAATGTTATGTCTTGTTTATGATCCCTGCAATTTAGCCATTCTAGACAAAAGCATTTATCATAATCCATCTTTTTGATTTGATACAAAGTTTTTAGCTATTCATCCCTCTAGGTTATCCTTGGGAGGGTCTCTTTCTTGCGGTTACCTGGCTAGTTTTTCCTTCTTTGTTCAAGGTTGATCTCGAATCTTTGAGTTTTCTTTGCTTTAATTCATGGCTAATTCATCAAATAATGTCTCGTGAAGAGGAGTTGTTGCGTGACAAAGATGATGAAAACCCTACAAATAAGGAGGTTGAATGGGTAGTAGATGATGAGGAAGACGAAGAGGCCAAAACTTCTCTTGCATTGGTGGTGAAAGTATGGATAGAAAGAAATGTTAATGCCAATGCTTTGATTAACATGATGAAACAACTTTGGAACCCTAAACACGGTTTCGAAGCAAGTTGTATAGAAAAGAATGTCTTTTATTTCCAATTTCACCATTGGAAAGACAAGGAGAAAGTATGGGAAGAGCAAACATGGGATTTTGATAGACATACGATTGTGTTGAATGACATCCATGGAGACGTTAAACCATCAGAAACCCCCCTACACTCGGTGCCTTTCTGGGTAAGAATCTATGACCTTCCTTTTAAGGGCAGAGGTAATGAAGAAAATGCAAAAACCCTAGGCATTAAGCTTGGAACTTTCATCAAAATAGATCGATCACATGGTGATGGGATAAATAAGTCTCTCCGAATTCCTACTTTAATTGATCTGTGCTAACCTATTCAGAGATGGGTGGAGTTGAAGATGAGAGGGGGTGTGAAAGAACGATTTCGGGTTGCATATGAGAAGCTTCCTCTGTTCTGCTACGTGTGTGGCATGTTGGGCCACGGGGAAAAAGATTGCGACAATCACAATGCGGACAATTCTCCGAAACGGCTGTTTAATGAAAGTGCGAGGGTGGCTTCACCATGGCAAACAATTAAGAGGTAGTCTATAGGGCTCAGTAACAGTCCCTTCAGGGGGGCTACAAGAAAATATATTACAAGAAAATCTGGTGGAGGAATGACAATCAACACATGAATCAAGTGGCAAAAAAACTTGAATTTGTGAACATTGAAAAGAAGACAGTGAATGAAGGGGAGGATGCAATGCAGGATGATCTGAACTCTGCTATTGTCTACAATATGACAGAGGCAGTTAACTCTATACAAGCAGACCTGAGTAGAGAGGGTGATACAAACAAGAATCCAGTGGCTTACTTGGTGCACGAACCACAAGGTATTGGTGACGTTATTGCTATTGTCCAGTGCCAACCATTTGCCTTCTCAGCTGTTACTTGTGCTCCTGCAAAAAAGAAAGGACGTAGAGTATGGTCTAGAGGAGAAAAGAGTGTGATGATGGAGATGGAAGGGGGTGATGTGAGCACTGCCAAAAGCATGCCTACAGGTCAGAAGCGACAGAGTAGAGAGGAGGACAATGACTTGGGTTTTTTGTTTGGATGTGCAAGGTAGTGAGAAGAAAATGAAAAGGGCTAGTGAAGTCACAACTCAAGTAGAGGGAAGTGGTGCAAGCCACTCCCTCGAACAACAATGAAAATATTAAGTTGGAAGGTCCATCGATTGGCCAATTCATGGACGTGTAAAGCCCTCCGGGATTGGTGTTGGAGGGAGAGGACAAATATCGTTTTTCTTATGGAAACGATGCTTGATGCAAATAATCTTGAAAGAATAAAAAAGATGTGTGGTTATGTGAATGGGGTTTGTTTGAGTAGTAATGGGAATTCGCGTGGTATTATGTTTTGGTGGAGGGATATCAATGCAAAAACGGTATCTTATTCCATCCATCACTTCATGGTTGATATTTGTGATCACAATGATGTTTCCAAGTGGAGAGTGGTCGGCATTTATGGCTGGCCGGAGTAAGAAAATAAGATCCTCACGGGGGATCTCATGTCACAACTCAAGGCTAGTAGCAATCTACCGTATGTGATGTTCGGTGATTTCAATGAAATTGTGAGCAACAATGAGAAAGAAGGTGGTATGACAAGAAGGGAGAGTCTTATGGGTGCCTTTAGGGGTGCAATTGACGATTGTGAGCTTTGTGATTTGGGATATTGGGGTAGCATATTCACTTGGAAGAGAGGAACAGATCCTACTACTTTTGTGAGGGAAAGACTTGACCAGTTTTTAGGGGATAATAATTGGTGCTCTTTGTTCCCATACTATGAAGTTCGTCACTTTCCTATATATCATTCGGATCATGCTCCTATTTTACTCACTGCTAGTGATCACCCTGAAGATGGCAGAAGGTCTAAGCAATTCAAGTTTGAAGCTTTGTGGTTGTCTAGTGATGAGTGCGGGAAGGTGGTGGAAAAATCGTGGAAGAACAATGCTGCTGAACGTACTCCTTGCTAACTGAAATTGTGTGCAAATGATCTTACTTCGTGGGCCTCCAAAACTTTTGGAAATTTAAAGAAAAAAATTAAAGCAATTGAAGAACGTTTTAAACGAAGCCCAAAACAGATTTCCTGATGCAGCTATGTTGCAATCATGTAGCTCAATATCGCAAGAACTTGATGAGTTACAAGGTCTCAAAGAATCTTATTGGCATGCTCGTGCTCAAGTGAATGAAATGCGAGACGGAGATAAGAACACGACCTATTTCCACTAGAAAGCTAGCATTCGAAAGCACTACAATAGTATATAGGGTTTGCATGACAAGGAGGGTAATTGGCGTGTGGGGCAGAAGGACCTTGAGAAGATTGTTGCAAGCTACTTTTCAGAGCTCTTTTCGACAGCAAATCCAAGTAACTTTGAGCAAGCAATGACTGGAATTGAGCAAGTTGTGACCGACAATATGAATGAGAGTCTTAATGCCGAACCCACGGATCTTGAAATCAAGAATGCCGTCTTTCAAATGCATCCGAATAAGGTGCCGGGACCCGATGGTATGCATGCTTTATTTTTTCAAAAATTTTGGCATATTGTTGGAAATGATATTGTATGCTTTGTGAAAAATTGGTGGGAGGGGAAGGTGGATTTGGATGAGGTTAACAGAACTTGTGTGGTCTTAATTCAGAAATGTGAAAAACCGAAATTTATGACCGAATTTAGACCAATAAAAAGTTGTAATGTGCTCTATAAAATAATTTCAAAAGTAATGGCCAATAAAATCAAACCTTTCTTGGATAAAATTATCTCCATTCAACAGAGTGCTTTTATCCCGAAGAGGTTAATTACGGATAATGCCTTAGTTGCTTTTGAAATTTTCCACGCTATGAAGAGGAAAGGGGAAGGTAAGGATGGACCAGTTGCAATGAAGTTAGATATGAGCAAGGCTTATGATAGGGTGGAATGGATGTTTTTTTTAAAAGGGTTATGTATAAGGTGGGATTCAATGACAGTTGGATCCAGAGGATCATGGATTGCTTTTCTAGGGTGTCATTCTCCTTCAAGGTTAATGGTTGCATTTCAGGGTCGGTCACTCCAACTCGGGGCCTTCGGCAAGGGGATCCAATATCTCCTTATCTTTTCTTAATTGTTGCTGATGCTTTCTCCACCTTACTATTGAAAGCTGCAATTGAGAATCGTATTCATGATGTACCTATGATTAATTCCATTTTCTCAGCTTCTGATAGGAAAAGAATTCTGCAAATTCCTACTACAATCCATAATCAACTTGATGAACTGTTTTGGAGGTTACTAGCTGGGTCGATTAGGTCACCTGGATGAAGCTTCTAGTCAACTTAGTGATGAAGACAGAGTGTTTTGGCGCTCCAACAGACCCCCCCAAGCTGAACCATTTTCTTTGGCGTGCAGGACGTGGCAACCTTGCTGTAAAAGAAACGTTTTTTCATCGACATATTGCCCCTAATAATCTCTATGTAGGTTGTGGATCTGAAATTGAGACAGCGAACCATGTGCTTTTCAACTGTAATGCAGCAAGATTGGTGTGGGATAGTAGTGATTTCTCACCCTTAATTGATGATGCCCCTGCTGACTCTTTTAGATCAAGGCTCCTGTGGTTGTCTAGGAAACTCAAACCAGCTTCCTTAGCTTGTCTCTTGGCTATGGCATGGGCAATTTTGTAGGAACAAGCTACTATTTGAGAATTGCTCACCGAATGCAAATTACATTGTTGCAACATATGTGAAGAATGTGTTGGAGTATAGCGGCTATGCAAAAAAAGTATTCATCAAGAAAAATGTGGTGGAAACAGGTCTGATTTCAAGATGGTGTTGCCCCCTGCTGGTACGGTGAAGATAAATATTGATGCCCACCTTGCTCAGGAATACAATTCTATTGGAGCAGCTATCAGAAACAGTCAAGGTGAGCTTTTGGTTGCTGTAATTCGCAAATACTCATGGGTTTGGGAAGTTGACCTTACTGAAGTGGCAGCAATTCAATATGGTTTGCAAGTGGCTAGAAGATTAGGGTATAACAATGTGTGGGTTGAAAGTGATTCTCTTAATATCACTAAAAGAGTCAGTAGCAGTACAACAGGCCGTTCTCCTCTTTGCTTGTTGATTGATGATATTTATAAGCTTTCCTTGTCTTTTGATAGTTTTGTTGTTTCGCATGTGAAACGTGTAGGGAATACAGTGGCTCATTTGATAGCTAGATGGGACACTCGTGAAAACAATGAAGTAGTTTATATGGGTTCCTTTCCCCAAAGTGTGTTAACTTTGGTGGAGAATGATTTAATATAAGCCCGCCCTAACGTTTCCTTATAAAAAAAAAAAAAAAAAAAAAAAAGCAATAATCCTAGTTTTAGGGTAATATGCATGTCAGAGAACAATTACCAACAGCTAGTAAAGATTTACCGACTCGTTTTGCTGTTTTTTCAATAGTAAGTAAAAACACTTCTTTTAGTATCTACCTATTTATTTTGACAAGTTCTTACAAAACATTAAAAATCACACCAAAGAAACCACGCATACGAAAAAAACCCTAGCCTCCTCTCTCCTATACTCTAGCCTACATTGTCAATTTTGATAGGGCTTCCATCAGATTTTACTGGTGGAAAGTCCAATCCTTATTTTCTTTTTAAGCTTTTTGTTTATTAGGTTACAATAATGTCTCCCTCGAAATGAAGGGTTTATCTCTTTAAAAGACAAGGTTTTTTTGATATCTTTCGTTAGCCAAGGTTTTTTAGAGTCCTTCGAAAGAAAAAAGTTTTATTTGTGCTTAATTTGGTCTCTAGTTGTGCGGGTATACGATGCTTATGGCTCGGATTTGGGTTACGGAATCAGCACAAGAATTTATTTTCTCACAAAATTGAGAAGCGACGACGGATCCAATCAAAAAGTTGTATGACACAACGAATCGAGAATGTGCCGAATTGTTATATTTATGTATTTGGATTCTTAGCTCTTCCCCGATTAGTTTTTGTTTGATTTTGTTCAATTTGTTTTCATTTTCGTTATTTGTTAATTGTAGTTTCGTATGACTTTAATAAATGAAATTTAGTGTTATTTAGGATCTCTTTAAAAAAAAAACCACCAGAGAAACAAAGCCAAACACAAACTAGAACAAAGAAGTACTCGTTGTTGAGCCTTCACAACCAACCAATGAGTAGGAGTTATCCACTGACTAGGAACTTCACTAGAGGAGAAGCTCATCCTGAAGTAATCAAACATAGTAACGTCTACTGAGCCCAAATGACAAATAAGGGAGACAAGAACAACACAATTAGTGTAGATAAAGGAGGTGACGAACACCTTTACTAGCGGTTCCAGGAATTTTTTGATATGTGTTCAAAGTTTTCGAACGTAAAATAATATACATACTTCCTTCATTGATTTTTATTTGACCTTATTTAACTTATGCACTATTTACACTCACCTTTGGTCGCCTTTTGTGATTTATACGTAAGTTGAAATATAGCCACGTACGTTTTTATTTAAATGGTCTTAATATATCTTATCACAATATCTACTAATTGTAAATTTACCTTATTAGGAATTAATCAGTTTTTTCACCATCTACCTGACAAGCGCACTTTAGGGCACGCTTTAGAGCATATTTTAGGATGATTTTGGATGTATTTGGGGCCGCTTTGGCCGATTATTACCTTGTTATGCTTACGTTCCCCATATTACGTGCTTCACGGGTTTTCGGTTTGTTTTTGATGTGTTTTCAGGTAATATCAACCGAGTTTAATCGGATCCCGAGCCCTTGATCTGTAATCGAGCTAGCCTTGACCGGAGTCCGAGGAGTTAAGGAAGTTCAAGTGCCGTGCATTGATTACATAGCACAGGCAGCACGGCCGTGTTACCATAGGCACACCCGTGCTGGCCTATAAGCAAGCAACCCCAGGCAAGGCAGCACGGCCGTGCAAGCCAATAGCACGGCCGTGTCAGTATCCACGCACCCGCACGGCCGTGCAGGCCATTAGCACGGCCGTGCCAGATGTTGCCCGTGCCCGTGTCAGCTTCAGTATGAGCCCCGTGCTAGAGCATATTCAGCACGGCCGTGTCATTTTTAGCACGGCCGTGCCAGGAAGCTGGACGACCGTGCCATATATAGCACGGCCGTGCCAATTTGAAGAAGAAATCCGGTTTACTTACTGACAAGCTAGCACGGCCGTGCCAAATACAGCACGGCCGTGCTGATCCAGGGTTAACTGCGCGCTTGACTTCTCCGCATTAGAAGACGTATATAAGGCCCAACTTTAAGAGGATTCCTCAGAGAGTTTTAGAGATAGTTTTGAGAGCCTTTGTAGAGAGTTATTGGAGAACGTTCTTAGTATTAGAGATTCATTAGTTTTCTTAGAGATATTTCTAGAGATTTTAGTTTTTTGGATTGATTTGAAGCAAGATTTGCGAAGATTCTTTGTATTATTCATTGACGACGGATATCAAAGTTCTGAACTTTTCCATTGATTCGCATCAATACAATTGGTATTATTCATTCTTGTTTATTAATCAAGCTTTATTATTCCTTAATCAGAATTCATGTTTATATCTATTATGCTTTTGGAATTCATTATTGCTTTGATTATGAATATGTGTGAGTAGTCTCCTAGCTAGGGTTTCGGGATGAAACCCGGCCTAGGTAATCTATGTAATTGAGGATTGATTTTGATAAACGGATTGTGATTAAATTGATTATATGCGATTGCATGTTAATTCATTATAATAGGAATAGCTAACCTAGAATCTTGAATTTGATTGCATGATATTCTTGATTTGAACAAGAGATTGTGAATTGAGTATTTCATTATTGAATGTGGTTTGATTATGTATCGAGTAATGTTAAGTGCATGAGAAATCCAAGCTTAGTATTGCCCGTTGTCTTCCTATCACATGATATTGATCAGACTTATAGTCTTTGCATATCCCGTTTGTCTCTGTGATTCCTTGTTGCTTAGTTACCAATGGTTAGGCGGATTCCCGTTCTCCCTAGTGTCTTAGTTTATTGATTTATTCCATCTTATTAGTAGTATTTTAGAACACCATTTTCCATTGATTTCAAACTAGCTTAGGTTTAAGATTGATTTGCAATTACTCTCGTTCCTCGTGGACCGAACCTTTATTTGCCATTGTACTTGGTTATAGGGTGTTCGTATAAGTATTGTTTGATTGAGAGTTAGATTGTAGCGACCATTTTAACCCTCGTCACTACCCCTGAGTTTTTTGTTTATTCAACATATACCTGTGGAAATTTTCAAATACACTATATACCCTTGATTTGTTACAAAAATTCACCATATATCCCTAATGACAATAAGATAAGTGAAATTTGATTAATTATGCATCGAAAATACTTTAGATCCCTCCATCTAAACCTGAAACCACTATTCTTTGTCTAATTCCTAAACCACTCTAAATCTCTGTAACTTTATAGCAGTATTATTGATTTTGGGGGTGAGAAATAAATGTGGGTGATTTCGAAGGTAATGAATTGTGTTTAGGGTGGTTTCGGATCATAATTAATCCTAATAATTAATAAAGTTAATAATCAATAGTCATAAAAGGGTATATGGTGAATTTTTGTAAAAACTCGGAGGTATATGATGAATTTTAAAAAGTTTATGGGTATATGGTGAATAAACAAAAAACTCAGGTGTATATGGTGAAAATCCGGGAACTAATACATTGAAGATAGATTTATACATTTGCAAACATGATGAATGAATCAGGTCAAATAACAAAGAACGTAAGAATTAGTTACCAATTACAAGCTACAACCATAATTTGGGGGTGACAACATGTCATTCATGCAAAATTACAAAAATTTATTACATAAATTCAACAAGTAAAACAAGTGAATAGCAATATCATTAAACATGGTCGTCCAATAAAATATTTTTTTATAAATGATTTAATAGAGTTATATAGTGAAATTCAAGGGAAAGAGGGTTCGAACTGAATCCCCTTGCATTGAATTTGGTTTATTGCCCAACTCACCAGCAGTGCAACAAACTTTAATTTAACACAAATACTTCAACATAGGTATCAAATTTGTGTCAGTGTAAAAGTAAGTCTTGAACAAAGGAATTAGACCACCATCCACCAATGCCTTGATGGATATTATTAACGCATAAATTAATAGGATTTTTTGTGAAAAACTACCTTTTATATACAACTTTTTGTGAAAAACTACCTTTTAAAAAAAAATGTTGTAAATGACTACCTCTTTTTTAAAAATGTTGTAAATGACTACCACTTGCCGGAATTTGGCCGTTGACTCACTTTTCCGGCGTTGACCACCCCATGTGGCGGCCTTTT